TCTTTTATGTACTCTTTCTTTCTTCCTGGGTGCCAGGGTGCCAGCTATTCTTGTACAGGTTTCTTAGTTAATAGTACTTGCTATATTTTAGCAGGAAATAGGCTGACATGTGGTATGCACATATATTTTGGAGTGCCGACTTTATAAACTAGCTTAGGCAGTTAAAGGTTGTGGCTGCTTACACTGATGTTGTATGTGTGTCCACCTTTCAGTCCTTCTAATACTGCAATGACAGATGTGTCTGTCTTCTGGATAATGCTGAGGTTATGAATGTGGACAGCAGTAGGATCATCTTCTTGGTAAACCAATGCTTGATATACTTGGATATTTCCATTGGGTTGAGAAGGTGGAAGGAATGTTAACTGAAACTTTGTTACTTCATCTGGTATCTTCTGAAATGTCATATTGTTGGGTGGGTCCTTGGGCACTGAAAATAAAAGAGTTGATAATTATAATTTTAATTATCAATATAAAATGTATTTCCTTCACATTTCTGTTTTGAAAGACTAATTAAAGATACTATAAAAAACATGTATTATAGAAATGAGAAAAATGACCAAGCACTGACTTTATTTCCTGGAAATTCTAGTGGTACTTCAGTTTGTCTATTTGTCTTGTGTATGTGCTCTGCGTTTAGTACTAGAGATTACATTCAGTACCTCCTATAGTATCAGCAGCCCATCTTCCACAGACTTACACAGAACATGCCTCTTTAACTTTTCTATGACTTTATTCAAAAACAACACGAATTCATAGGAAACTGTCACAAGAGGATCAGAGCTCCATGTACCCTTCCTAGAGTTCTTTGTGGTGACACTGCATGTGACTTTATTCATTGCCAATCCAGAGAACAAGCATCTATGCAGTACTGTTAGCAAGATGGCAGGCCTTGTTCTGACATCATCAATGTTTTCATGGTTTTGTGTGTGATTCACTTTTATGGAATTGTAAGCCATGTGTAGATTTCTGCAATCACCAACATGGAAAAGATAAAACTAGCTGCTCACTTAAAGAATTCTCACCTTCCATGCCTTTGCATTTTACTACATGCCTCCCTGTAATAGAATTATTCTTTATTTCTGTTGTCTTGCCACATTCAGCATATCAACAGTGTGATGGTTTTGAAGTTCACTGGAATTTATGTGTATCAATACTTCACCCTTTTTCAAAAAAAAAAATTCTCTACTTTTTTGGTGGGGGGAATCATGTGTGTGCCATGTTGAGTATGTGGAAGGCAGAGAACATCTTACAAGACTGTCCTTTCCTTCCAACATGTGGGTCCCTGGGATGGAGTTCTGGTCATTAGTCTTGGTGACAAATATCTATACCCTCTGAGTTATCTTACCAGATGTAAAATCTCCAACCACAGGAGAAAGGGAAAGCAGTCCTAATTGTCACCAACAAGTGTTTCATTTTATAGCTTAACAGGATGTGTTTAACATGGAAAGACATCTGTGATGTTTATAGTTTTTGTCATTTCCAGTAAGGCTGACATTACTATCCATACATATATAAACATAAGTTTTAGATTCTTTGTGATCATTGTTGACTATTAATTGCTTGGCCATATGGGAAGTAAATGTGTAATTTTACAAGAGACCAACAAATATTTTTCCATGCATTGATACCATTTCATATTCCTACTGGAAAGTGTCAGAGTTTAGTTTACATCTTTGCCATCATTTGGTATTATCACTACTTTTAAAATTATTACATAATTCTGTTTCAGTAGATGCATGGTTACATGATATTGTGGGTTTAATTTGCATTTAGGTAAGAGCTTATGATCTAGAAATTTTATCTTAATGTGAGTTTATTTCTTAACCATACCTCCTGATGGATGAAATATCTCTTTATGTCTTTTGACAGTTTTCTAATTGGATCTTTGCAGTTGCTGAAATGTGTAAAATTCCAGTTCATTATACTAAAATTAAAACACAGCAGGACAATTTCACATATAAATATGCATGCTAGTTGTGATAGTATGTATAAGGCTTGCAAAAGCACAAATCAGACAAAATTCGAGCATGAAGAGGGGAGTTGGGCACAATGTACCATCCCTAGTCAAGAAGCTATTGGCAACAGTTAGCTGCTGGGAAAGAAAGGGTCAGTTATCTCTGAAATTCTGGGCCATAAAAAGTTGAGTGTATTCCAGTAGGAGGCCTTACATCCAAGAATATTTGGGCAACACAAATTGGCCTTAATAAGATGGGGGCAGAAAATGGGCTAAAAGAGAAGGGACTGTACTTAGGAAGAGTTGGGGTATGGAGGCAAATATGACCAAAATCATGGAATCCTTAAAAAACTAATTAAACATTAAAGATTTTTTCTTTAGAAGACTATTATGGAAAGGAGGGTAATCATGAAGGTGATGTTAAAGAAGTTGCATATGATCAAATACAGTCATGTGAGAAATTGTCACAATGACACTCATTACTCTGTATAGTTAATACTCTGCGCCAATGAAACAATGAAACGAAAACTAACCACCCATCAAAAAAAACAGCTTAGTATGTCACTAGTTATAAGAAGTTATTAAGTGAAGTGACACATGAGAAAACGATATTTTAAGATTATAGAGTACTGTTCTTTATGTCACACCATGAAAATGAATCTGTACATCTATGGTGATCTGAATGATACAGAAATCTTTCTCATCAGCCAAAATTGTCTGTGAGGAAGACAAAAGATGTAGTCTCACAGTCCAGACACCCAGGCTTCCTTAACTTCAAACTTCTCTGTAGAGAGAATCTTGCAGCCCCCCTCAAATGTGGATAAATAGCAGTGAGTAAAAATGCCAAGCAGAAAAATACATCATTTTGTGAAATATCCCATGTTAAGTAGAAAGTTTTATAGACAAAATGAAGCTCAGTTTGGTTTAAACAGGTATTTTCTCCTTGTTTTTACACATTTACATTACTTAAGAAATATATCCTTTTTATATAAAAAGTGTTTCAGCAAATTGAGGATCAGGCTTAAGGCTGGATAAGGCAGGGAATCCTCTCAGTGTTGGCAACAATTTCCTATCCTAAAATTACACAAGGCTTTACATGATAAATTCTGTTCTCAGAGGTTTACTTTACTTTTGTTGCTAGTAGTAGTACTATTAGCTACCTCCTAGGGCAGTGGTTCTCAATCTTCCTAATGTTTCAATCCTTTAATACAGTTCCTCATGTTGTAGTGATCTCCACCACCACAAAATTATTTCATTGCTACTCCATAGCTGTAATTTTGCCACTGTTACGAATCATAACGTAAACATCTATTATGCAATCCATGGGAATTGCAACTCCCAGGTTGAGAACCACAGTTAGGACAAGACTGATAAGCCATGTTTTGTGGTATACGTGTGAGTATTTTTTTTTATCAACTCTTTGTTCAAAAGAAATGTGGGGAAGAAATGTGAAAAGCACAATCAAAACACAAATCCTTGAGATAGTTGGCAGCAAAACAGAAACAAACAGAATCTTAGCAAGGAAGAAGAAAGAGTGCCTTGCAAGTTACAGTCCTCACTTTGCAGTAAATCATGGAAGACAGCATAATAAAGAAACAAGCTAAAAAATATTTTTACCTCCTCTATGTACCTCAGAGACCACAACAAATAGACCATGGCAACACACCCCTTCACCTGATATTTCCCATGACGTATCTAAAAACAAAGAACTAGGAGTCTGAAAAGGTGGGCAGGCAGGTGCTGGGAGATTCCCTTTCTACATCCATTTCCTATTCCCTTTTATGGTCTTTTTATTCATTCAGACCCTGCTCACAGGGCTAGAGGAAATCTGTGTGGATTCTGACAATTATGAAACAATCACATGATACATCATGTCACTTGATTAAGAAAACAATTGTATGTGACTTGACTCTAATATCAAATTCCTTAACCATTATCAGTCCATTTTCATTAAAAACAAATCAGGACAGACATAATGAAAGTGAAATTTTAGATAAAACATTGTTAGCAGAAAGCATTTAGACAAATTACCTGGTCGGCATAGCAATTCAATTTCTAAAACAGCGGATTTGATAATTACAAAACACAGAGTACAGTGGGGGCACACTTAATGATGCTCCACATTTACAAGGATTGAATGTTTCATTTTGTTTGGTTTGGGTTTTTTTCAAGACAGGGTTTCTCTGTGTAGCTTTGGAAGCTGTTGTGGAACTTGCTCTGTAGACCAGGCTGGCTCGAACTCACAGAGATCCGCCTGCCTCTGCCTCCTGAGTGCTAGGATTAAAGGCATGCACCACCAAAGCCCAGATAAGGACTTAATGTTCTGCACATCCTACTTTGCCTCAAAAGTGTAAGTAAACTTCACTTTTTGTCAATTACACCATCACTGAATTTGATTTTCCTATGCTCTATCGATGTCTCATAGCACATGTATTTTCTCCAGAAGAATATGAGGAACTGTAAGAAAGACCAAGAGCCAAGCTCAGTTAATTGTTAGAAAAGTATTCCTTACCTGATTCTAGAGTAGTAATTACCACTTTAGCACTTGGTTTCCCTTCGGCATATGCCCTACTAACATTTCCAATAAATGCCGTGATCACCACCGAATACCTTGTGAATACTTTCAAGTCATTAATTTCTATTGTTTTGACTTCTTGATTTGACTTCACAAAGGAAATATTAAAGTCATCATTATCTACCTATGGGGAAAAAAGTTGTTATCAATTAAGACAGAAAATAATCAAAAGCTACAGGTATACTGATCTGGCCAATATTTACTCATTTGATTTGAAATCAGATCTCTCTCAGAAATCCAAAGTACTATTATAAAAGTTAATTCATTTGTAATTATTTTAACAGTTGAAAGTCAGAGACTGTAATCAACCAACCATGATCAACCAGCCTATCAATTGAATAAGCAAAAGTCTCTGTCAGAGTCAATGAAACTGTTTTCTACTTCAATAGTTTATAGTAGAAAACTTGTATGTAGGTTTTGGTGCCTAATCACCCAGCATTCAAATGCTAAATTGGTCAATTAACTCTATTTGTCAAGACACTCATGCAGTCTTAGTTTCTATTGGAGTGATAATACTAAATTATTCTGTCTTCTTGAGAATTTATAAAGAACCGATCTAAAGTACTTGACATGGAGATTTTGATTACTCTGAAAAATTATGCTCTGTAACATAATTCAGAAGGCATAAATAGTTAAATTACATTTATATACTTTTTAACTAAATCATAACTGTGAGAGGACAACTTCTTTTTGAAATGTACATTGATATGTTCTGCCCGTTTTACTTTTTCTTTTTCTAATTTTATTTCATTTACTTTTATTTTCAAGATTATAATATAATTGTAACTGTTCCCCTTGCCTCCCTTCCCTCCAAAACTTCTACATTTCCCTCCCTGTTCTCCACATTCATGTTCCTTCAGGTTCTTTTTTCACTAATTATAATTAGAGATCAAAAAATGTCTAGCCTACCACTGTTAGATATATCAGTGGTGATGGACACAATTTACTATAAACATCATAACTGAAACACATGGACAAATGAGGTACCTTTAGCTATATTAAATGTGGTACATGTTTTTTTTTTTCCAAATACAGGTTTTCGTTGATGGAAGTTTTTGCCCAACACTCTAGACATCAAACATGGCTAAAGCTTTTAGTATTAAATAGAAGGGCTTTGGGAAAATGATTTAGTATATAAGTGCTTGTTATACAACATGGGGACCTTAGTTTGGATCCCAAGCATCTCTATAAAGGACAGGTGAGGCAGGCCACATCTATTACCCCAGCACTGGGGTAGAAGAAGTAAAGCAGGCAGATGTCGACAGTCCATTTGCCAACCAGTCCAGCCAGACTCTAAGATACCAGTTGTTTGATAATCTAAGTTGGAATCCCAGCACTCATTCTAGGAGGCACACAATTGCCTATAACTTCAGCTCCAGGAGATCTGGTGCCCTCTTCTGAACTCCAGGGTTACCTGCACTCATGTGTACATACCAACACACACACACACACACACACACACCTTTCAAAATAAACCTACACATTTTCATTTACCATTGCGTGTCTGAGAGATGTCACAAACCATGAGATGGACAATGTTAACCTATGACTTTCACAAATATTTACACACACACACACACACACACACACACAGAGAGAGAGAGAGAGAGAGAGAGAGAGAGAGAGAGAGAGACCATGTACATATAACAAATTAATAAGGACTTTCCTGAAACAAATTTGGGAAAATTCTAAACCCTTCAATGCATATTATTCACTGTGTATTGTAGGTTTTATGACTATGAAGATAATTTTTGCCTTGCCTGTCCTTTGAAACACTGAGAAATGAATTTTGAAGTTACTAAATTGTTTATTTAAATTTGGTTTATAAAGAAGATGCTGCGATGAGAAACACACTAAAAGGCTAATAAAAACCAGCATCACAGTCAAAAAGTTCATTTATTATACAAAGCACTAGAGGGAGATAGCCAACTTCTCTAAAATGGTAGAAAACCTTTTCAACGTACAAATTCTATTCATCAAGCACAATACTCTTGGTACAAAATGTTAGTATTTGATTAGGCATCAACACTTAAATTCACATAAAACATGGATTTTTAATTTTTCCTCATGATTAGGCTGTTATTCATATTGAATAATAACTATCTAGAGATAACAAATAATCACTGTAAGGGAATATGAGGCTCCCATACTCTTGATTATTACAGAGAGAATTTACTAACATGTAAAGATTTTGTCACTCATATTAGTTTAATAAAATACTAAATAGCCAATAAGCAGGCAGGAAGTATAGGTAGGTCTACCAGACGAGGAGAATTCTGGGAAGAGGAAAGGCAGAGAGACACAGTCATCAGCCAGATGCAGAGGAAGCAAGATGAGAATGCCTTACTGAAAAAAGGTGCCAAGTCACAAAGATAAGAATTATGGGTTAATGTAAGTTGTAAGAGCTTGTTAGTAATAAGCCTGCACAATAGGCCAAACAATTTACAGTTAATATAAGTCTCTTTTGTTTATTTGGAACTAAAGGGCTGAAGGACCAGGCTGCACAGAAACTTCGTCTACATGAGGTAAATTTATAGATTTCAGGTGACTCTCTGTAGCTCTATAGCTACAGAGCAACAGAGATAAAATTTTAGTCTAGTTCTTCCATGATTTAAAACCATCTGTCATGCAATAAAATGAGTGATCTCTGATCGTGTAAAAAGATCTCTTTACATATTACACTATTCACTATTTTCTACTTGTCCAGTTGATAACAATATTAACTAGTAAAATTTTAACATGACACATGTGTTCTACTGTGTATTTACGATTTTTTAAATCCTAAAAATATAATTGCAGATCCTCAGACAGCATCTACATAAGTTCATGACCTCTCCATCAGAAGACCTACTCCATGTTGATTGCTAGTAACCACATCTACTTACCCAGAATGAAGCCTCAAGTCATGTGAGTCCTATATCCCAAGATTGCTTGCTCATCATTTTATCACCTATTATTGCTATGAAACCACTCCAGCCTTTAACTATAACATCATATTGGATGGTCAGCATCTGAACTCCAGATTTCCCTCTCCCAACTCTGCCTCCTCTTTATGTTTCACTTCTTGACCCACTACTGTCATTCCTGTTTGCTATAATGCTGTCCAATGCCCAAATTCCACCATGGGTTTGATTTACTCTGGGAAGCCACCTCTATACTCTATCCTCACAACAGATATTTATAATTACTTCATTATCTCCCCCACAGCATCATGCTTTGCCCTATAATTGTTCATAGTGCTATGTATGCTACAAGAATGTGAGCTATGTAAAAGCCAAATTTTTATATCCTAATCTTGTCTTAGTGTATAGAAGTTATTCAAATTATGTAAGAGAATAAAGGTAATAAAAATAATCACAGAACACAATAATTTTTACTGGAATTAACCGAGTTGGTACCTTTGCCTGTTCATCTTCCTACCCTGCTTTCCTTAATCCCACTTGCTCAATTTTAAGGTCAGGAAGAATGCTGTAACAATGAGATTACAAAATCATCCTATAACCTTTTTTTTTCTTTTCTGTAAGCATAAGCAAATTCTAGAGGGTGGTGTCTTTCTTTAATGAAGAATCATTCATAATTACCTTTTTATAATTTGCATTAAATACATATTCCCAGGGCACTCATATTATTTGTTTTTTAATCTATTAATGTACCAAGATCATCACAAATATACTCTAAAAAAAGAAGCAAAAACTGAACAATGTGTGGGAGAAGACATTAAAATCTCATTTCATTTTAATGATAGCAGGGCTTTTGAGACAGAAGCATCTCCTTTAAAAATTAATATATTTACCTGTTCCATGGTTAGCCTCATCTGCCCCTGGAATACAAGCTACTTTATAATAAGCAATGATTATTCCTCTCCCAGGAGCTCTACATATGTATGCAGTTCTGCTAATGTAGCTGCAGGCAGAAGTTTCACTACCACACTTCTCAAACTCATGCCTATGTTGTACTCATTGCTTACTTCTCAGATTTATTCCCTGTTTCCAAGTAACACACCTTACAATCATCCTTGATTCTTGTTCTCACTCACCATCAGAAGTTAGTTGAGTTTTCAACAATCTCACAGACTTAAACTGTTTCTCATCTGGATTCTTTTCTATGCTTCCTCTGATTTTATCATTTAGCTCTCTCTTTTTTTGCCCATTTATTCTAACAGTTTCCTCCCCCTGAACTGGACTGCATCTCAGATACAGAATACAGAATACTAAAAGAAGCAATCAGCCTGCTAGAGTGATAAAAATCTTACCACGCCACTGTTTTAGTTACCCAAATGGCACCATGAATATAAAAGTCAGTGTCCAAAACATAGGTCTAGCTACATGTCTCAATATGCCAAGTTTTAAATGCCATGACATGGAATGGGTATATTATTGTTTTTGAAAAGATGATTCTTTTTCTTTGAAATCTCTCTTCTCATTTCTCTTCCTCCAACCTTTTTTTTTTCAAGATTTAGCTCTTTACTTTCTGGGAGATTGCTTCCTGAATGCCTCTTCCTTCTTATTTTTTTTCTAAAAGATCCTTTTCACTGTATTTTAAAACAAATTTTGTAACTTTCTGATATATGCATAGTTTTTGCCCTAAGAATAAATGCAACAAGCATTGAACTAAAGCTATTTTGTTGAGCAGTTGGTAACTGAAGAGTTAATGCCTAAGCTAAACAATCTATGAAAGGTCTAAGGACCATGGTACAAAATCAAAACTCTGACTAGATAATTTGCCTCATGACCTGTGTTTTATACTGTCTTTCAGAGTAGGTAAGACATGCCTTACCGATTTGACATCAATCAAGTAGAACATTGGTCCAGTTATGACAGCAGGTTCACTCCAGCTGATATTGATACCAAAGGGGGATGTTGCAACCACATGCACATTTTCAGGAGGACCATCAGGAGCTGCAACAATAGGAAATCAATTACTCTGCCACATTAGTTCGTACTTGCTACAGTATAAAAGGAAAGACCATGGAAAATGGATAGTCACAATGAATTAATTATACATTCATTTACAGATCACAAACATGTTAAAGGTTAATCATAGGACCAGATTGTAAAAACTACTTTCTATACATAATTAACTTCCACATAAAATAATTAAAATTGTAATACATGATATTTAAATTTGACATAATATCTTTAAAAGAAAGCATAATTATATAATTTGTGTTATTTAAATAACTAGGCACAACCTAAGATGATTCACACATATTTGATTATTGAAAGAGACAAAAATCACAGTTGAAGATGGGAATTAGTATAAAATGTTGCCATTATTTAACATGTCATCTTGTGATTGTAAATTGAGTCAGTTTTATGTTTTCTTTGAGGGCTAGAGGAAGATATTGTTATGCAGTCATTCTGGTCTTTATTAGACATGTAAACATCAGTTATATTCATGGTTAACCATGATTTAGGAAATCGTGTGTGTATTTTCAGTTTGTAAATTAACTAGAAGTAGAAGGGTGCTGATATAGAGTCCATATAGGGGTGCTGCTTATTGGCTTGTTCCTTATGGCTTGCTCAGCCTGCTTTCTTATACAATGCAGGAACACTCTCCCAGGAAAAGCAACACTTGCCCTGACTCCATCACTCACTAATTAAGACTACTTTTTATGCCAGCCTAGAGCTCTCATCCAGTGGCTGATGGAAGCAGAGGCAGACACCCACAGATACACACTGAACTGAACTCTGGAACCTAGATGCAGAGAGGGAGGAATGAAGATTAAAGAGGTCGGTACCAGGCTGGTGAAACCCACAGAAACAGCTGGCCTGAACAATGGGGAGCACATGGACCCCAGACTGCTGTCTGGGAGGCCAGCACAGGACTGATCTAGACCCCTGAATATGGATGTCAATTAGGTGGCCTCCGCACTCTAGGGGGCCCCTGGTAGTGGATTAGTATTTTTCCCTGGTGTAAGAAGGGCCTTTAAGAGACCATCCCACGTGAAGGGATGCACTCTTGGCCTGTACACATGGGGGAGGGCCTAGATTCGGTCCAGGATCATGTGGTGGACTTTGGGAAGCCACCGTCAAGGGCCCTACCCTGCCTGGGGAGTGGAGGGTAGATGGGGTGGGGGGCAGGTGGGAAGTTGGGAGAGGGTTGAGGAGAAGGGAGGGAGAAGGGATTGACATATGAAGCAAGCTTGTTCCTAATTTCGACTAATAATTTTTTTAAAAAAAGAAAATATTCTATAGCTGGAACTTATGGAGGCATTTCCTTAATTGAAGTTCCTTCATCCCAGATGACTTCATCCTGTGTCAAGCTGACATGAAGCTAACCAACACATTAAATATGATTTAATATTCTTCTCCATTCCTGTAAATCAAAACAGCAAAATGTTGCTGCTTAGGATCTCACTGCAAAGGCTACAGATATATTACTCTAGAAATGAGCTCCTAATGTCTAGCAAGCTGATGGAGAGTCACACAGTACAAAACAAAAAGATCCAGAATCTCTAAATTCAGGAAATAGAGTTATCACTGGGTGAGGAATGCTCATTGAATTAAACATAAGGAACAATCCCCAAAGAGTAACTTTGGAATCTAGTTATGGAGCACTTGATCTCTATGCTGAAGAATGTGGAGTTCATTCTTTAAATATAAGGATGGCACAACCAAGAAAAGGAATGTTTGTTCAGCATTTAGGAAGACAACTCAGTTAGCTGAGGAACAAGTAGACACTTTGATATGAATTAAATCAAGCCACTGTTAATATCCAATAAAACTGGTTGGTGCCATGCTATTGGATTTCACAGCCTCTGTGAAAATGAATTTTAAAAAATCAGAAAATTTGTTACATATTGAGATGTCATCAGTAAGGTAGGTGTGTGTATTGGAAATGAGTAACACAGTCTGAAGAGACCCAAGTTCATTTCAGTATCAGATAGGCATTTACAGCATTACTGTACTTTGTATGTGCCCCTCTAAAATTTAGGTGTTGAAGCATTACAGTTAAAGTGATGGCATAACAAAGCACATCACCCTAAGAGGTGATGAGTTTTGAGAGTTCCTCATATAGGGAGTAGGTTTAAGGACCATATACATGAAGCTTCACAGAATATTCAGTTAATCTGCTCTTCAGCCTTCCATCTAGTGAGGATATAGCACGTCTTCTCCCCAGGGAATGTAACCCTCACCAGATGACCAAATATCCTAGTGCTTGTATTTTTCACTTCCCACCCTCTAGATTACTATGAGTCAATAAATCCATATTCTTTATTAGTTATCTTGTCTCACAGCTAGCAGCATAGGGCGTGGTGAGCAATTTGGGTAGCAAAGTTAGTTCCTGTAATATATTGGTATACTTTAATAATAGCATTGAAAAGCAAAATCAATCCTGCTTATACATTGAGTAAAAATGGAAGAGCAAATGACTACCTGAAGATTCAGTGTTCTTCAAGGCTAATGCTAGAGTCTTTTTAGAATGTCCTCAGCAAAAATTTCCAAATAAAATAGATTATTATCATGGAGTAGAAGAAGCCACTGTAGACTAAGACTCCTGATGTCTACTTCATACTTGAAGGGTTATGTCCCTTATATTCTAGAAAGCAGAAGGGCAAGATAGCTAAATGCTCTATGAGGTCTCTTTTACAGGAACCTTAATCCCATTCATGAAGGGAGGAGCCTTTCATGTACTGCTTACCCTACAAATCAACTAGAGCAAATGAGAAAAAGTTTCTCGAACCTAGATGATTTGTCTCTATGCAATAACCAAGCTCAGAGCTGCTAGGATTGCACTTAAAGTCAGGATGCTCCACCAGGCAAGTTCTTCTTCTTGCCATTGTCCTAACATAATGAACAATGATTGAGATTTGCTTTGATTTGGGGGTGCTGATTTGAGATTTGTTTCTGTATTGATAGTAGATTGGTTTTTGAAATATTTTCAAGAGAATATGTCTACATCTTCTTGGTCTCCAGTCTGCGTCTTTAAGTCTCTGCTAAGAGACGATCCAGATCTCTCTCCTAGGAAGACCTGGATTTACCAGTACATCTGTATACCAGCTCAGATAGAAGTAAAATGCCTTGCATAAAAATGACTTTTTATTTCTTCCTGTAAAATGTCAACCCTGCAAGCATTCCTTCAATGCAAACAATCAAAGCACCCATCAGGGAGTGCCAGATACCCCAAGCAGAGCAGAGAGAAACATGGCATTAAGAAATCACTCAAGACACATCCACCCACACATGCAACTAAATATTTTATGTTCCATACACTGATCAAACAATTTTTTTAAATCAAGCTATCCTGACCCTTGCTGATCTTTGCAAAATGTCATTTATGGAGCTCTCTGTGGTTCTTCTTTCATAGTTTCTTTCTTTTAAGAAATAATCACTCTAAACTATATTTGCACTTCCAGTAAATTTAATGATAAAATGCCTGTTTTACACAAAAGTAACTTGGGTCAACACTTCTGTGAAAAAATTCATATTTCATCAACTAGAGCTATGAAAGAACTCCTACATAAAAACTATGAAATGCCAATAAATACACATAACAAATATAGGAGTATAGTACTTGTATGTAAAAAAATGTATGCATTCTATCTGAAGAAATTACAAATAATTATTTAAGTCGTGGTAAATTTATAAGAAACATTTAAAATGTCAAGCTATCATCTTTTATGATCAAGCATTTAATTATTTTATCAGTTTTCAAATTAAATAAGCACTCAGATATCTAGCATTATTTTCTTCTTTGGATACAGTGTGCGGTAGTCTATTACTATAGACACATAAAAAAGAAAATAAAAATACTTAGCTAAATACTAAAATAAAGGAAGATGAGATGGGCAAAGCTATGAGGAGCTCAAAACTGTAGCAATTTGAAAGCTCAATAAGTTTTAAGCATCTTTAGGAGACATTGTTTGTCTCCCATAAACTGTCACATCCTGATTTAGGATTGTTTGTGAAATGAATCTAGTCACTAATGGACCAAGATATCACTCTACCCTTTCTCTTATAAATCATAGCAATTTACTCAGTAGGCATGATCTATCCTTATTCTCTCATTTCCCATAATCCAATCACTTCCTCTCATGAGCACTCTTCCTCTGGTTTTCACAATAATGCATTTTCTGCAACTAATAACCGTCATTTCCTGATTTTCATGCTTCTATCCTTGCACAGGAATGCGGGTCTTATGTGGGTCAGGGTCATCTTTCCCATCCATCTGTGTCTCCATGCTAAGAGTGTTAGCTGAAAGGTGAGTCTGGATACACCATCATTTTGCCTAGTCCATATAAATGTTTGACTGCCCCCAAGTCTAAACCACTTGAAGAACCAATATGTTTTGGTGTGTCTGATATTACACAATCAGTAGTGTCACATTTAAAGCCTTTTTCAGAGTGTTGCCTTCTACACATCCTTATAAGTTAATGTTGAAACCATTATAGTAAATGCTCAATAGTTGTTTAAAGTGTATCATTCTGTGGGTTAATTTCCTAGAAGCATACATGTTAAATAAAAATAAGAAGTAAGAGCAGTTCACGGGGTTGAAAATCCCGAGCTCTATAAATTGTAATTCAAATTTTCTGTATGTCTATTTTCATTCAAGTTCAGTTTAAGCTTTATTTGAAAATGCCTCCTAGTCGGTTATGGTAGTTCAGAATCTGATAGGCTGGATCATAAGACTCATAACAACCATCATCACTAAGTGAAGGGTTCTCGGGCTTCTGTGTTGCAAAGTATCAACAACCTCTAGGATTGTGAGCTGAATCTGATGCAGGACCTGGAAGAATTAGCTTTGTGTTCCATGTTTCTCTAAAGACTAGAGAAAATCTAGTCTAGGTTGTGTATCTTAAAGGACCTGAGCATCAAAGACTCCCAAAGAAACATAGCATTAAATTTACAATGTTTCCACACAGTAGGAGCATCTCAGTGTGTGCCTCTGTCCACTG